ATAGCAATACAGACCTTGGTCTGTTATGAATGCTGTATGATCTTGATCTGGGACATGCATCTTGATTTGGTTGTATCCGGAGTAGGCATCCATGAAGGTGAGCAGCTCGTGCCCGGCTGTTGCATCTACGAGCTGGTCAATCCTTGGTAGCGGGAAGCAGTCTTTTGGGCATGCCTTATTTAAATTTGTAAAATCTACGCACATCCTCAACTTCCCGTTAGCTTTTTTAACTAATACAACATTAGAGAGCCACTCGGGATACAAAATTTCTCGTATATATTCAGCTTTTAAAATTTTGTTTACTTCCTCAACAATTACATCACTCCCCTCCCTATTTACAGGTCTCCTTTTTTGCTTTACTGGTCTCCTTTTTTGCTTTACAGGTCGGAATGATAGGTCTATGTTGAGGCGATGCACCATAATCTTAGGGTCGATGCCTGACATGTCCTCATGGGACCATGCGAAAACGTCCGAGCTGGAGCTGAGGAAGTTGATTAGCTCCTCCCTATCAGTGGCCCCCAGCTTGGTTCCTATGCTTACTTGTCTTTCAGGGCCAAGCAAAGGAACAAGCTCGAGTTCCTCGGTTGGTGCTGAGAACTCCCTTTTACCAGATTTTGGTAGGTCGGCCTCGAGCTTCGGCAACTCGTCCCTGCTAGCTTGTCCTTCCAGGGCGCATACTGATGACCCTTTGAGTGCGGAGGCATAGCACTCCCTTGAAGTTCTCTGCTCTCCTCGGACCGCGCCCACTCCATTAGGAGTTGAGTATTTCAGAACTTGATGAAGTGTTGAGGGAACGGCCCGGAACGAATGGATGATGGGTCTCCAGAAGATGGCATTGTAGGCTGACCTTCCGTCGATCACAACGAACTCAGCCATCTGGGTTACCTATGTATCATCTTGCCCAATCGTAACCGGCAAGTCGATACACCCTTCTGGAGAGACCGATTCTCCAGAGAATCCAACCAAGGGAGATGGACTTTTCTTCAGCTAAGATCTGGTCCATCCCAAGGCCAGATATGTCGGAAGGGACAAAATGTTGGCAGACGCGCCTCCATCTACCAACACTCTTCTAACCAGAACATGATCGATGAGGGGAGCGATCACGAGTGCATCATTGTGGGGCAAGTGTACCCCCTCCAGATCGGCATCGCCGAAGGTAATGGAGCAAGTTGGTTTCTGTTCCCTAATGATGCATACCTCGCGCCTGGCCTCACGAGCTAGCTCTTTCCTTTTATTTCCAGACTGGCCCCCACTAGGGCCCCCGAAGATAGTGTTGATGACTGCAGGTCGGTCATCTCGACGAGGTGGCGTTCTTGAACGCTTCCTTTCTTCTTTCTTCTCTACCGAGTTGGACTTCGGTTTTCCAACAAACTTTTTGAAGTAGCCATCCTGAATGAGGTCTTCAATTTGGCGTTTTAACTCTCAGCAATTTGATGTATTATGGCCGTGATCGCGATGAAAAAGACAATATTTATCCTTATTACGCTTTTCCGGGTATCCTCGGAGCTTCTCAGGTCGCTTGAGGAGCTTCTCCATCCCATTTTCCTCGATGTTTTTAAGTATTTCAGATATGGGGATGGTGGTCGGAGTATAACGTTCATAAGGTCGGCTTCGACTGGGGCCGTTCTCCGACCTACGATACTCAGTTCGGCTACTGGAGGAGGATGATCCCTTATCTTTGGACTTGGCATCAGTCTTTCCCTTATCTTTGCTAGCTCTCCCCTGGTCGATTTTCTTTTCTGGTCGGCCAGTCTTAGTTCGAAGGAGCTCTTGTCCATCAATGACTTTCTTCGCCTTTTGCAGCACTTCGGCAAATGTAGCTGGAGCCTCCTCTCCAAGCTTCACGGTGAGGGTCTCATCGGCCAGGCCGGTGAGGAAGTAGCACATGGCCGAATCATCGGAGCAGTGCGCGACTTTCAGCTGCTCCTCTTCGAACCTTGTGACATATTCTCTCAACGTCTCACCTTCCTTTTGTCTGATGGTGGCGAGGTGAGTTGCTGTCTTTCTGTCGTAATGCCGAGAAGAGAATTGACTAATAAACTCTTTCCTCAGCTGAGAATAGGTCGAGATCGACCTGGCTGGCAGTCTTCGATACCACAGACGCGTGCTGCCGGTAAGCGCGATCTGGAAGGCGAGACACTTGATTGCATCTGTTGCCGCTTGAAAGTCCACGAGGCCTTCGAAGACCTCAACATAGTCTTTTGGGTCCTTAGACCCATCATAAGGCTTCATTGTGGGAGTCTTGAACTTTGGAGGGATTGGAGCCTCCAAAATGTCCGAGGTGAAGGGCGATTCTCCCAGGTCGCCATCGTCAAACGAACTCTCCTTCTTCTCGCACCTAGCCTTAAGCGCCTCGACCTGTTCGTCGAACCTGTGTTTCATGAGGTGGAACTCTTCCCTGGTGATCACGGCTTCTAGTGTCAAAGGCTTGTACTTTGACTGAGCCTTGAGGTCGGAGTTGGAGAACTCTTGGGAGTAAGACGGAGAGTCTTCTGGTCCTCGCGACGCTCTCTTCTTTTTATCAGCAAGGTGATTTCCAAGATCATTGTCCCGCAAGCTATAATCCACCCCCTCATTGTTGGGAACGGGCTCGCGGTCACCAGAGTGGAGAGATGGAACTTGGTCTCCCTTCTCTCCCGGTACACTTCGGACTCTGGAGGGAGACGCTGTTCGGTTAGCCGGCGTTGCCTCGG